TAGTTTGTAGTGTGGAGCTTCATATTAATTTTCTTGAAATAGCATTTTAAGTATCAAACATTAGTTTTCTAGAAATTAGCACATTGCTTTTTTAAGGTCGGTACTCTCTGTGTCATATCTAGGGAACTCTAAGCTTATCCAAGGTCTCACATATTCTGGTCCATTGATGTGTGTCCATCCCCCCACTAATGCCACACAATTTGACTATTGAAGCTACATCACATGCCTCTGCCAACTTTCAGAAACTCTTTAATGTAACTAAAAATCGCAAAACACTTTGGCAGTGCTGGATTTCTGGAGCCTCCTGAGAAGGGCTGCAGACAGATCTTTGTCTCCGTGTCAGTCATCTCTGCAGGTCCCAGGAAGCACACATCCTGGTGTGAGGATTTGGGCCTCTGCATCCCTTTCTGATGTAGGTCAGGGACATGTGGGTGTCGGCTGTGGGGTCACTGATGACTCAGGGATATGTGCTCATGACCTGCAGGCTCCTCACTCCTCACTGTCTATTCTGATGCCCAGGGCTGTGCTGCGATGACCACTGGACCTTTGTAACATAGATTAAAGATAAATGATGACCAACCCAGGGCAGGGCTGAGCCTGGATCTCTCTTCTCTGCTCAGCGAGGTGCCCAAAGTCTAAGCTCAGTTCTAGAGGCCACTGGGAAGGTGACTGTGTCACAATGATCAGGACTGTGACTTATTTCCCTCCAGTCATGAAACCTGCTTCACAGGTATTTTTAACTGGAGAGCTTGCTATGGAGTGAATTCTCTCCCGCTGCCATTCACATGTTGAAGCACTAAGACCCTGTAACCTGTACTGAGAGAAGGGCTTGTAGGAAGTACTTGTGATTAAATGAGATCATAAGGTTGGGGTCCTCCTCCGATAGACTTGATGGCCTTGTAAGAAGAGGGAGAGAAAGAGAGATATCACCCTCTCTCTACCACATGAGATTACAGGGAAAAGCCAGTTGTCTGTCCATTAGGAGTTTCACCGGTAATCAACTCATCTGGCAACTTGACCTTGGACTTCCTAGCCACCAGAGAGTGAGAAAATAAATTTATATTTTCTGTGTTTAAATCATTGGGTGTTTAAACCACCCAGTCACTGGTTTTGTGTTGGCAGCTCGTGTAGATGAGATGGATTTTTGGTACTGAGAGTGGGGTGTTGCTGTAACAAATACCTAAAAAGGTGTTGTTGACTTTGGAAGTAGGTGATAAGTAGAAGGTAGAAGATTTTTCTAGTACACACAAGAAATTTCCAAGATTGTTGTGAAGTGATGTTAAGGTGACTGTTTTGGGAGCTCAGGAAGAAGACCAGGGAGATGTCCAGAGGCCCCCATATTCTAAGAGAAAACAGGGATCATCATGAACACAATGGGGGTTGAAATGTAGACCTAAGCAGCCATCCTGGTGAGGCCTCAGATGGAATGGGGAACATGTTATGGGTCCCTGGAGGAAAGGTGATCCCTGTTATAAGGTGTTGAAAGGCTTGGCTGCACTGGTTTCCTGTGTTATGTGGAAGGTAGAACTTGTGAGTAATGGAGCTGGATATTCAGCTGCGGAGGTTTCTAAGCAAGTGTAGGAGTGGCTTGGTTCCTCCTGGCTGCTGGTAGTGAAAGGTGAGGGGAGACGGATGGATCGAGAATGGCAGTATTAATCAGAGCCTATTTGGATATTTGAAAATCAGAATTTTGATATTTTAAAAACTGTCAGAATTTGATATTTGAAAAACTGTCAGCCTATCCATATTGTAGAGACCCAGGCCCAGACCCTAGGCTAGGCTAGCTTATTTCAGAAATTCCCCCTGCCCAAAGGAACTTAAAAACTCCTGCTTCAGTCAAATATAACAGAATGTCCTGTCAAGAAAGTAGAAGAAGATAAGCTAGTCATGTTTTATAGCTCGTTAGAAAAAAATAAACTAGCCATGTTTTATGGCTTGTTAGAAGATAAGCTAACCATGTTTTATAGTTTGTTAAAATAAAA